TTATATGAGGTGTTGCAGGAGCTTCTTATGACCTCCATATGGTACGTGAAAATGCAGTTCCTCATAACATTTCTGTAGAAATACATGATTTTTACTAGAACTGCAGTTGAAAAGTGTGTTTCCATCTGTGCCAATTAATCAATACCTGATTACAGCTGCAGAACACTAACATGTCTTGTGGTTGGTGCGGGTTGCAATATATATTGTGATGTTAAGCAGGAACTGGTAAATGTGATACTCTTGCAGTTGATATAGTTGCAAACAAAGGGTTAGTAAACTTTTTTTACAGACAGCTTGATATGGCTAGTCTTTAAAAAAAATTAACAATCTGTTAGAGCCATTAATCTCCTGCTGTGGCATTACCTTCCAGTTTCAGGATTAGACATTTAATTCTCTACATGACTGTAAGTAGCGCAGAGACATTTGGTTCTAAGATTGTTATACAGCAATGAAAAGCATCATTCTGGAATGCCCAGTTAGAACTGTGAATCAACAGTGATAAAGTAGACCCAACTAGTGCTTAGAAAAGAAGAGCCTTCGTCTCTGAACAATAGTAACTTACACTCTGCACCATAAACTGACTACATTGATCGTATTCAGTGAGGAATCAAATGTGACTTGTAGTAAACTGTTCATGATTTTAAAAGAATATTTGCAGACTTTGTTTACAAGCCTGGTTTTGTCTGACACATCAGTTTTTAAATTTGATTTGATTAACTTTGCATGTAATATACTCTGTTTAATAACCATGATTATCATGTAGATGCCACCCTCTATTCGTAAGTAGTACTTTATCTTGTAATTAATAGAAACCACCCTCATTTCCAGGCCACCCTACATTTAAAACAAGGAGGGAAATTTTAATACAAGTCATAGCTTCCAAATGACTACACAGTACAGTATTTGCTTCTGTAGATGATCACAGGATCAGATGAGCTGTCGATCTTTGGTTAAGTAATTTCCCGTAGATTAATCTTTCCTTATGCTATCATTTTATGTGCCCATTTAATTACAAGGGTTTTTTGCATTTTCTTTTGAAAGAATGGGATCCAGACACAACTTTAAATACTCTGCATTTCTGAGCCATCACTTGTGCTTGGCTTTGCTGCAGTACCTAGAGGAAAATACAAGATTAGCTTTTCCAGGAGTTGTTTACATTGATAAATAGCCCTAATTGGATACAACAGACTGGTAGTGCTGAGCTAATACCTTTAAATGTCTTGTCTTATGCCATTAATATTTCCTTGTCATGCACTTGTTTAAGCTATTGAAAGAATGGCTTATGTTCCTACTCTGTCACATTTAACAAATGCTTTTGTCAAGTCATTCTTTATAGCCTGTGCTGATGGATAGTTAAACTTGTGGTTTCCTGCATATATAAAATCTGTTGTCTGCACCATTCAACTTCTATGCAAGGGCATCCAAAAATTCAGATAATCAATTTATTAAGAAACTACAATGCCTGTCTACATAGGGGTATAAAAATATACTACTCACAGCTATGAATATCACCCTGACATCTGTGAATAATAGCACACACATATAAATTTAGTATAATCTCATTTAGTTTATCAAATCATCCATGATGCAGAAAGATAATATGGTTCAGTTTTGGTGACTCTGGACTCAGGGTCCCAGTATGCAGATCTTATAACAAGTTAGATGTTCATTACAAAATAAGCAGATTCTGTATTCTCAGTAGTAAGGTCCAATTTGCCATCGTTTGATTATCTCCTTTTTCATTGACATCCAATGTGCATTTTAAGAGTACAGATACCTGATACTACCAATGAAAGTCAATTGTGTATATTTAGACATTCTTACAGTTTTAATCTGATATGCCCGAAGAGCATCATGGCATAGTTATAACAATTATATTGCATAAGCCAGAGTAAAAACTATATTGTTCATACCTTAGATCCCAAGGTCAGAAGGAACCACTGTGATCATCTAGTATGACCTCCTATGAAACACAGGCCAGAGAACTTCCACAGAATAATTCCTAGAGCAGAGCTTTTAAAGGAAAAAAATCCGTTTTGATTTTAAAATGGTCAGTGATAGCCCTTGGTAAATTGTCCCAATGGTTAATTACTTACACTTTATTTCTAGCTGAAATTACTTGCCTTCAATGTGCAGCCATTGGATCGTGTTATTCCTTTCTTTGCTAGACTGAGTACTTGTTCCCTATATGGATATTGATTTATTGGTTGTAATCATAGAATCATAGAATACTAGGACTGGAAGGGACCTCGAGGGGTCATCGAGTCCAGACCCCTGCCCTCATGGCAGGACCAAATACTGTGAGACCATCCCTGATAGACATTTATCTAACCTACTCTTAAATATCTCCAGAGATGGAGATTCCACAATCTCCCTGGACAATTTATTCCAGTGTTTGACCACCCTGACAGTTAGGAACTTTTTCCTAATGTCCAACCTAAACCTCCCTTGCTGTAGTTGAAGCCCATTGCTTCTTGTTCTATCCTAGGAGGCCAAGATGAACAAGTTTTCTCCCTACTCCTTATGACAACTTTTGAGATACCTGAAGGTTAGGTACCCTTAATCTTCTCTTTGCTAAGCTAAGCTTTGAGGCTATGACTATAAGGCAATGAATACCTCCATTTAAATTAGGGATGTGAATGGTTAATCAGGTGAGGCTTACTGGTTATGGTTATCTGATTAGGGCAGAGAGCGGCTCCAGCCCTGTGGGGCCTTCCATGGGCAGGGACATGCCAGCCCGCCTGGGGCAGCCCCCTTCTGAGGTGGGCTCGGTGCAGGTGCACCAGGCAGGTCAGGCCTGCCACGGATGGAGGTTGCTGGAGCAGGGCTGGAGCAACCCCCCACCTACAGTGGAAGACCCGCTCCAGCTGCCCCCATTTAATTAGCTAACTCACTAAGCATAATGTTTAACTAGTTAACTAATTAATCAGGATTTTACATCTCTAATTTAAATCAATGAGAGTTGGGCACCTAGGTGCTTTTGCAACTCCCACTGGGTCCCCATCTGCTCCTTTAAGCACCTAAATACCTTTCAAAAATCTGTCTGATAGTGACTGCAGACATGTCAGCCTCACAGGGCATGTTAGGCTTTGTGATGCAATGCGGTATCACCTCTGCTTTCAGGTTTTATTTTATATTAAGTGTTCAGTGCTTTAATAGTTTGTTTGTTTGCTGCTGTAGGATCTATGAGCGCCAATCAGAACCCTGCTGTGCTAGTCACTATACAAACACAGAACAGTCTCTGCCCCCAAAGAACTTACAATAGAAATATAAGACAACGCAGGGACACAGTGACACCACTTGTGCACATGATAGGCAGTGGTCATAGCATGTCAGTTGGCTAACAGCTGCCAAGTTTTTTATTTATTTATGAATTTTTTTTATAATTGTGCTGAAGCACTTGAATCAGCGTGGCAGGGCAATATAATACCGCAATTCCATTGCCTTTAAAATGATTCGGTTTTGTTAATGGTGCTTGCATTTTCCATACTAAGCAATGGATGGACGGGGTTACCAGCAGTATTTTGGTTCAGCTTTCCGCTTTGAAGAAAAGCCTCCCATAGCCAATGGAGCTGAACTCCAGATGGGTTTTGAGTCATCTTTTTTTTATTGCAGCTACCAATGGAGTAATTATCTGTGCAATTTTGAGTATTGATAGGACCTCAGCTAGTTAAAGCTTTCTAGTATAGATTACAAAATTGAAGGATTACCTTAATTGACCTTCAGTCTACCTACAAGATGTATGACTTAATGAGCCTAATGTCTGTTTGGACCTCCCGGCTAGATGGATCCCAGCCTAGCGGCTTTGAGTTTGCAATTTTTCATTTTTAATAACAATTATACCAAAAGCTAGCTTAAGGAAATATGCTAAAGTACATCTGTTCTCCATGCTATCATAGAGCATTTAAATCTCCAAGAAGAATTATTTAAGATTTCAATCATATTTTGTGGCATTTTGCAGATATTAGGAAAGTTTGATATTGATTAGTAGTTTTCAGAGTGGCTGAAGGTAAATTTGTACCATTATTCTTAAAGTAGTAGGATTTTTTTCCCCAAACATATGTGTATTTTTTGTAATGGAAGAACAGGTGTTTATTCTTTAGTGGCTTGTGTTTTTTTCATTAGCAATATGACAAGTATATGCAATATTTTGCATATACTTGTTAATCCTGTCTATATACTCTAGGAAAGCATTTTCAGATTGTTCAACTAAAAATTTGCTAATAAAAATGAGACATCATGCATGTGCTAAGTGTAACAATGAATGCAAACTTTACATGAGGTATGGAAATACAATGGCCGGTACTTTTAAAATCTACATTTAGACTACAAAGTAAGTGACCTGACGTGACTTTTAAAAGTGTTTGGTAGCCTTGCAATCCCTTATGTGTATAATACAGATTAAACCTGTCTAGTCTGGCACCCTTGGGACCTGACCAGTACCAAACCAGAGAATTTGCCGGACCACAGGAGGCCAATATTGTTTTGCAGCGTACCCAACACTTCCACTTCTTTCTGGGCCAATAGAGGACATTTAGGGGTAAATTAGAGGTAAATAATAGCACAGAACAGTGATAGCCATGACTGGTAGCTGTAAAGAAAAGTTACAGGATCACAGAAAACATGGCCATACCTATGAAAAGTGGACACTTGACTAACTAAAATCATTGCAAACGATTGATGTTTCCGGATCAGAGAGTTCTGGATTGGAGAGTTTCAACCTGTACTTGTCCACCTGCGTTGTCCCATTAAAGTCAGTGCACTAGCTTGAGTGAGTGAGGATTGCAGAAATAAACCTTTAGTTATAGACATTCAAATGCTACCAAAAATCCCCCCCAAAAAATGCTACAGATCCATAAATACTACTCTGCACCCCCCAAAAATATTTGTACAATGTTGAGTTCTGAAAAATATACTCAACTCTAACTGGCTGATCAAAATGCTGGAAATGTGTATTGATAAATTTTCAGTTACTTACAGCTGCACTTTCTTTTAATACAGCTACGGAAGGCGGTGATGGATCATATATCTGATTCATTCCTGGAGACCAATGTCCCATTACTGGTTCTAATTGAGGCTGCAAAGAGTGGTAACGAGAAGGAAGTGAAGGAATATGCTCAAGTTTTCCGTGAACACGCCAACAAGTTAGTTGAGGTAAGTTATGCGGTCGGCAGAATTAGAATGGATTGCCTTGTGAGATCAAGGACAATGATAAATTAGCCAAAATATTGTGGGAATTTGGGATTTTTACTTGGGATGGTTATTTAGAATGTTGAGCAACTTGGGGGTTTTACTTGGACTGGTTATTTAGAAATCTGTTGAGTTGTTAAAATGACTGGCAGGGATAGGTCTGTGCTTTACTGTAAGATTAAATCATCTGAACATGTGTCATGCAGTATTTCCCAGGTCTTGTCAATAATGAAGAACAACAAGCAGATTTCAGCTAAACTTCACCAGCAGTGCAGTATAGTAGGCTGTGTTTTATATGAGGCATGAAGCCAAATAGACAAATAGTGTGTTGTAGCTGACTCTAATTGCTTAGAGAACATATTAGATTATGATCAGCCTGTCTAGTTAAAATACTGAAAGCATCATAAAATGGGTAATACCTTAAAGCTGTCCTTCTCTCCAAACCTGTATGTGTATATACAGATAGGCTACGTCTACACTGGCAGCTTCTTTCGCAAGAACTGTTTTGTGGAAGACTTCTTGCGTAAAAAGTGTTCCACAAGAGCGCGTCTACACTGGCATGTGCTTTTGTGCAAGGTTGTCCATAGCAGTGTGGACGCTCTCTTGCACAAGGAAGGTCTGATGGCTATTTTAGCCATAGAGGTTTCTTACACAAGAAATTCATGTTACCTGTCTACACTGCCCTCTTGCACAAGAGCTCTTGCGCAAGAGGGCTTATTCCTTGTGGGGAGAGGAATAACTCTTCTGGAAGAAGCCCTGTTTTCTGATGCTAGACTGTACATTTAATTGTGCAAGAATGTGCATACAGTGTAGACACCAGTCAAGTTTTTGCACAAGAAAAGCTGATCTTGCACAAGAAGCCACCAGTGTAGACGTAGCCAATATGTGTGTAAATATATATGTGTGCATTGTGTATATTAGTATACATACAAACTGGGTTTCTCCATGTCATTTTTCTTTCTATAAGAACACTTTGCAATGATGGCAAACTGTGACTGGTTTCAAGGATAATAATGATTTTACTTTGCTTCCTGAAACTCTTTCAAGTTACAATTTAAATAACACATAACAGTCAGGAACCTGGACACCTACTGTACACCTATTAACCTGTATAGTACATTTTTTCATCAAAATTTGCTCTCCAGAACAGATTAAGAACTATGAAAATATGTAATTTCTTGAGCATACAAATACTGATTCATGGGTTGTATTGTTATTATTGTATGGAACTATTAACTTCTCTTTACTAGCACTGTTTTCGAGACCATGCAGCTCATAGCAAATTCATGGACTTATATTTTAATTAAAATTAATTCTTGGATAGTAAAGATTTGACTAGGAATATTGGGATATGATCCTGGAAAATTTTGTTTCTTAAAAACTGTAATCACATATTTTGCATTGGTTAGTTTAAATCGAAAGTAACCCATGTAGGGTATATCTACACAGCAACATTATATCAGATAACTTAAGCTGCATCTATACAGCAGGAAGTTATTTTGAAATAATGTTGACATATTGTCTAGCTGGAAGACTTCTTACTCTGACTCCTGTAACCCTCATTGTATCATAGAATCATAGAATACTAGGACTGGAAGGGACCTTGAGAGATCATCAAGTCCAGTCCCCTGCCCTCATGGCAGGACCCAGTACTGTGTAGACCATCCCTGATAGACATTTATCTAACCTACTCGTAAATATCTCCAGAGGTGGAGATTCCACAACCTCTCTAGCCAACTTATTCCTGTGTTTAACCACCCTGACAGTTAGGAAGTTTTTCCTAATGTCCAACCGAAACCTCCCTTGCTGCAGTTTAAGCCCATTACTTCTTGTTCTATCCTCAGAGGTCAGGAAGAACAATTTTTCTCCCTCCTCCTTGTGACACCCTTTTAGATACCTGAAAACTGCTATCATGTCCCCTCTCAATTGTCTCTTTTCCAAACTAAACAAGCCCAATTCTTTCAGTCTTCTTTCATAGATCATGTTTTCTAGACCTTTAATCATTCTTGTTGCTCTTCTCTGGACCGTCTCCAATTTTTTCACATCTTTCTTGAAATGTGGTGCCCAGAACTGGACACAGTACTCCAACTGAGGCCTAACCAGCGCAGAGCAGAGCTGAAGAAAGACTTCTCATGTCTTGCTCACAACACACCTGTTAATGCATCTTAGAATCATGTTTGCTTTTTTTTGCAACAGTGTCACACTGTTGATTCTTATTTAGCTTGTGGTCCACTATAATCCCTAGATCCCTTTCTGCCGTACTCCTCTTAGATAGTTGCTTCCCATTCTGTATGTGTGAAACGGATTGTTCCTTCCTAAGTGGAGCACTTTGCATTTGTCCTCATTAAACTTCATCCATTTACCTCAGACTGTTTCTCCAATTTGTCCAGATCATTTTGAATGATGACTCTATCCTCCAAAGCAGTTGCAACCCCTCCAAGCTTGGTATCATCTGCAAACTTAATAAGC